CCATACCTACCCGGGGATGGGATGCCGTGCTTGATGGGAACTTATGGGTTTGCAGTTGGGAGGAGGGAGGCAGGTTGCTATGGTTGCTGAACATAAGGCTGCCTCTTTTTCACTCACCCCTTTCCTAAATCTAGACAGATGCAGGGGGAAGGAGTTCCAAGGTGCCAGTGGTTACTCCACCCCTTTTAAGGAGAGGCCAACTCATTCCCCTCCCCCATTCACTGTCCCTCCTTGAGAAAGGAAGACAAGCAGTCCTGCCCGTTTCAAAGGGACAGCTCTACCTTTCACTGGGATATACCACTGAGGAGGGGGAGGTGTCAAAGCTGTGCAGCTATGCCATTTGGTGAGATGCCAGTCCCCTGAAAGGGGTCCCAAAGCCAAATCTAATTCAACCTTTTTTCCCTCCCTAACCCCTCAGCAGGAAAAGCAATCAGCCTTGGGGATTTCTATATACCTCTCTCCTAAAAAGGTAAGCTCTAGGGCCCCCTACCTTGGGGGGCTTTGAGATTGCCTACTGGGCTAGAATAGAAACTGGGATGGAATGGGACCTAGGGTGGGTCACTCCCCTTCCACCCAGATGCCCACACTCATTTCTCAGAATCCTAGACCAGCAGAGAACCAGAACATCCCATTTACAGATGGGGAAACTGAGGCCCAGAGAAAGGAAGGGACTTTTCGTAAGGGCACACAGGAAGTCAGGGTCAGAGCTAGGATTGCAACCAGGGCCTTGGAGATGACGTCTAATATCCCTTCTCGAACCAGCAATATACTGGTATAGTAGTTATCTGTGTCTGTCTTGTCTCCCTCCTAGACTGAACTTCCAGAGAGAATGAGGACTATGCCTTATCCTTCTCAGGGTTCCTCCTGCCACCCCACCCCCCCCTGCACCCAGCCCAGGGCCTTGCTCCCAATGGGGGCAAACCTTTATGTCTATAGGCTGTTCACAGAAGAGAGGCTGCTGCCCACTGCTCTTACAGCTTTGCCCAGAATCCTTCCCTTCCTATGCCTCAGTCTCCTTATCAGTAAAATGACAGGGTTGGACTCAGTGGTCATAGGATACTGTTATTAGGGCCAGAGGGGACCTCCAAACCCAGCCTCCCTCCCTTTACAGCTGAGGAGCCTGAGGCCAGAGGAGTACAATGGGTTATTGGGAAGATTTGAACTCAGGCCCCATAGTCAGTGAGCTTGCCACTGTATGGTGCTGCATCCTTCTATGAGGCTTTTAAACGCCCATGTCCCTGACTAACCAGGCTTGATAGAACTCAAGGTCTGGAAAGGAGGTTGTTTGGTTTGGTTAGGTTTTGGGTTTTTTTTGGGGGGGGGGTTGCTGGGGAGAAGAAAGACAGGAAGTGGAAAGCTTCCTTGCGCTAGCTTAACCTGTTAGGACCAGTCTGGTCTTGGACACGGAGGGCACGGGGTAGAGGGGAGCCCAGGTTGCCAACAATGATACAGACCCTCCTTTAGGTCCAAGTATTTATTGAGTACCTCCTGTCCACCTGAATCCAGTTCCAGTGAGACAAGAGTCTAATGGAACAGCAACTCAAATTTCCATGATGTTTCAAGGTTACAGAACACTTCTGAGCTAAGCCCTTTCCTTTCAGCAGTCTTACATGGAAACTTGAGGCTTACCCTGCATCATCCAGACTTGGACTCTTACTGCCCACTGGTTCCATTCACTGCTTTCTCAGAAGTGCTGCCCCTAGGGCTTAGGGTGAGCACTGAGTCATTCTCTTAGACCCTAGGGGCCTTAGCCCCAGAGCCTAAGGCCAGGGAAGGTGGGAGATGCAGGCCCCACAGCTTCCTTGAGGGGAACTTGGGGCTCTTCCAGAGTGGAGAGAGAGAAAGGGGGCAGCACTCAGTCTGAGTAGAGAAGCAGGGTTGACCCCGTATCCCACAGATAGGAAAACTGAAGTCCTAGCATGTGTGGGACTCAAAGCAGATCTGTTTGAAGGCAGAGTAGAGACAGAAAAAAGCAGGTTTCCTATGTGTGTGATGGTCCAAGTATGAGATGGTGTGAGACAGCTCCCAGCCCCTCTGCTCTGTGATGGTCCAGGCTGAGCCCAGGTGGGGGAGGGGGGGTGGAGGGGGTCTGGAGAAGGATTTGTCCTCTTCAAGAGACAAGGTCTTCAGTTGGTTCAGCAGAAGCTGCCTGAGCTGTTTATCACCAGGACAGAAAGAAGTGTCGAGTGGAACAGGGAGTGCGTATAGTGGGAACAGAAGAATTGGAAGGCACCATGAACTAATCGTAATCACCCTCTCAAGCCTCAGTTTCTTCCTCTGTAAAATGAGGAGTTTGGACTAGGTGAGCTTCAGGGTCCTTCCAGCTCTCAATGTTAGGCCCCTTCTCTCTTCAAGAAGGGAAGTGGGAGGGTGGAAGTCAGTGCAGGGGGGTGCTATACATTGTGGAGAAGGGAGGGAGGGAGTGGAGGAGGAGGGGATGTCTTGGGGGTGTAAGCCTCAACGCCTCCCTGCCTTTCCCCACCTCCCAAACCCACACAGGCTGCCAGAATCCTGGGGCCAGCCCCACTTCCAAAAGCCAGATGCGTCTTACCCGATGCCAGGTCGCACTGGCGGCCGCCATTACCCTCAACCTCCTTGTCTTCTTCTATGTGTCGCGGCTCCAGCAGCAGCGCCGGCGGGGGGGCCGGGCAGTCCGGCTCCCCCGACTTCCGCACTCGGCCCCAGACTCTCGGGTCACCGTGCTCATCCGGGAATTTGAAGCCTTTGACAACGCTGTGCCCGAGGTGGTGGCCTCCTTCCTGCACCATGATCCCACCCAGCCCATCGTTGTGGCCGCTGACACTCTCCCCTACCCGCCCTTAGCCCTGCCTGCCATTCCTAACGTCCGGCTGGCCCTGCTTCAGCCTTCCCTCGATCGGCCAGCTGCTGCTTCCCAGCCAGAAACTTATGTGGACACGGAGTTTGTGGCCCTGGTGCCTGATGGTACGAGGGCAGAGTCCCCTGGGCAGCTCCAGCGCATGGCAGAGGAGCTGAAAAACACCCATGCCCGACTGGTGGCTGCACCCGTGGCAACAGCAAACCCCCCCCACTGCCTGGCGCTGGAGGTGAATCTGCGTGAGTGGACAGCCAGCTACGGACCAGCCCCCGACCCTCCCTTCTGTGATGCCCTGGATGGAGAGGTAGTGGTGGTGGTCAGGACGCGGGATCTCTTTAACCTCTCCGCACCCCTCGCCCGGCCCATGAGCACTAGCCTCTTCCTTCAGACCTCAGTCCGAGGCTGGTCTGTGCGCCTCCTAGACCTGCCCTTTGCCCCTGCCCGGCAGCCTCCCTTGGCCACAGCCCACGCCCGCTGGAAGGCCGAGAAGGAAGGCCGTGCCCGGCGCGACGCACTGCTGCGGACGCTGGGCGTGCGGCTGGTCAGCTGGGAGGGCGGGAGGCAGGAGTGGTTCGGCTGTGGCAAGGAGACGGCCAGGTGCTTCGACACGGTGGTAGGCGACACTCCTTCCTACCTCTACGAGGGCCGCTGGACGCCCCCCTGCTGCCTGCAGGCCCTCCGCGAGACCGCCCGGCACGTCATCGGCGTCCTCGAGGCTGCCCGGGTGCGCTATTGGCTGGAAGGGGGGAGCCTGCTGGGAGCGGCGCGGCACGGTGACATCATCCCTTGGGACTATGACGTCGACCTGGGCATCTACCTCGAGGACGTGGCCAACTGTGAACAGCTGCGGGGGGCTGAGGTGGGCTCGGTGGTGGACGAGCGAGGTTTCGTGTGGGAGAAAGCTGTGGAGGGAGACTTCTTCCGGGTTCAGTACAGCGAGACCAACCACCTCCACGTGGACCTGTGGCCCTTCTACCCCCGGAACGGCGTCATGACCAAGGACACGTGGCTCGACCACCGCCAGGACGTGGAGTTCCCCGAGCACTTCCTCCACCCGCTGGTGCCGCTTCAGTTTGCCGGCTTTTTGGCCCAGGCCCCCAACAACTACCGCCGCTTCTTGGAGCTGAAGTTCGGGCCCGGCGCCATCGAGAACCCAGAATACCCCAATCCAGCCCTCAGGAGCCTGACGGGCAGCGGGTGACGCGTTGGGGAGTTGGTGGCTGCTCGGTGCCAGACCAGCTCTCTGTCCTGCATGGAGAAGATCGAGGCTGTCCAGGAACGCCGGGGGTCATGGGGAGGGGCACTCAGCAAGGGTAGCAATAAAAGACCCCCTGCTACTGGGCCGGCCCAGACTGTGTGCTATGTGGTTCATGGATCCCATTGACCACCAGGTGGCACTCTCCCCCAATTCCTGTGGCCTTGGAGGTCAGCTCAAGACCTCGGAATGGTACTCCCTACCACCCCATGCCACGAGTCCTTGCTCTTCCCTCTTTCCTGCCCTCCAGCTCCAGAGGGCCCAGAAGGCTCTGTCCTCTGATAGGTCTCCCCAAGATAGCACACGAGCCTCAGAATGGTTAGACACACATTTATTGCTTGGACCACACCCCTCCCCAACCTCACTAGGGAATAGGCTGGGGGCCAGAGTTCTGCCCCCTTCCTCCCAGCTCTCAGATGCCGCTGTCACTCTGGCTCTGACAGCCCAAGACCAGGGGCCAGAACAGTGTGTCCTGAGGACGGGGCACAGAGAACACGCACACTTTGCCTGAAAAGGGTGTGGAGGTAGGTGGGAGAAGACACCAAGAACTTTGGTCAGCAAGGGGAGCCGAACTGTCCGACTTGGGGTCCCCAGGCAGCAAAAAGTTAGCTAGAAGTAAGTGCCCATCTGTCAGTCCAGCCCTTTCTCTGGACCCTCGAAGCTACCTTCAGAATACAACCAGTCAGGGTCCCAAAGGGGACATTCCCCACTCCCCAGAGACTGGGGGAGATAGGCCATGGGTTTGAACTGACCCTCCCCAGCAGCAGCAAACTGCTTCCGTAGCCCAGAAAAGGAGGGCTAGTGCACCCGTGCCACTGGAGTGTGGGGAAGGAACCCCCTTCCAAAAAGTATCGTCTTATGTCTTTCTGGAGCCTCCTCTTGGGGTAGAGCTGGGGGCTCTACATGACCGACTCCTTCTCACAGGTGTTTGCATCCCCAGCAGGGCCACCCAACTTGACTGTCTTGAGAATGAGGGGGTCGGCCTCAGGGGATGGGGGGACCACAGAGGCATCATCTTTGACCTCTGCCAGCTCAGGCCCCAGACTCGCCAGGCCTGCCTCATTGTGGTCCACATAGCACTGAAGCAGGCCAGCTCCGAAGGCATCCCCTTCCACGTTGATGATGGTGCAGAAGCGGTCCCTGGGAACAGGGTGGAGGGGAGAGGAAAGAGGAAGAGGGATGAGAGCCAGCTGGAGGCTGGGTTGGCCCGCCCATGGCTCATTCCCACCAAGTCAGGAACGCCTGCCCTAACCATGTAATACACTCAGCCTGAGAGTTTGGGAGTAGGAGAAAGAGGAGCCCAGAGTACTCACACTAGCCAGTCCACGGCCAGGATGAAGGACATATCTTTGGTGGGCAAACTGATGGCTTCCAGAATGATGGCCAGGGTCAGCACACCCCCTGCCGGGATGCCGGCTGCACCCACACTCGAGGCTGTGGCAGTGATGCTGCCAAACGGAATGAGTTCACAGGTCAGGGGGAACCCCCGTCCCAACTTGTCCCAGGTCCACACTCCCATCCCACCCATGGTACCTCTCCTGCCCCCATTCTGAATCATTTTAATGTATCTCAGTCTGCCCTGATCTACATTGGCTCCACATGCCAGATCTCTTTGCCTTGATCCCCTGCCCCCCTGCCCTCAGCCATCCTCCGCACCCCACCCCTGCTGGGCACCCAGCCTCCCCATCTCCCCGCTCACAGGATTGTGATGACTTGGATGAATCTGAGGGGCACATTGTTTAACTGGGCAATGAAGACGGCAGCCACACACTGGAAGAGGGCAGCGCCATCCATGTTCACCGTAGCTCCGATGGGGAGGATGAAACGGCTGATGTGTTTGGAGACACCGTTTTTCTCCTCCACACACTCCATCATCAGTGGGAGCGTTGCTGAGCTGGAGATGATAAAGGATACCAGGGTGGGACGGGGTCAGTGCAACCGACTTGATTCTACTCCAAGCTACCCCACCCCCAATTCAGGGAATTCACTAGAGGGAGACAGGTCCAGGCCAATCCCTTCATTTTAGGAAGGAGGTGACTGAGGCCTGAAAAGATGTGACCCACTCAAGTTCAGGCGAGATGCTAAATGGGAGAAACTGAATGGGAAGATTCAGGGCTCAAGGGAGGGGGCTCTGGGTTATCAGAGTACGTGGTAAGCCAAGAGCCGGGAGGCATCAGGAAGCTAGACCAGTCTCTCTGAGGCCTTTCCTGTTCAAAGGGTGGCTTTGAAGGAGTAGTCCAAGCCAGGCCTAAGGCAGCTCCCTAGGCACAGTACCTGGAGGAGGTCCCAAAGGCGGTGGCCAAGGCCGGCACAATCCCCCACAGGAAGCGGTAAGGGTTCTTGCGAGTGATCAGAAAGTAGATGAGAGGCAGCACCAGCAGCCCATGGATGATATGTCCCAGGATGCAGCAGCAGACATATTTGCCCAGACTGGCAAAGAGCCGGCCCACATCTTCCATCTCCACAATCTTGCCCGCAATCAGGAACATGATGCCCACGGGAGCGTACCTGAGGTGAGGGAGAAGAGGCCTCCGCCTCAACTGGGGACTCAGGCCGCCCACTGGCCCACCCTCGCAGCCTCAGGATGTCCACCCCCCTGCCCCTGAGCCAGCTTCCCCAAGGGAGGGTCCCTGTCTCCAGAAGGCTGCACTCCCTGGGGACCTACCACATGATCCAGGACACCATTATCATCGTGGCCTCATTGAAGGAGTTGAAAAAGCAGATGAGCAGCTCCCCTTCTGCCCCCATCTTACGAAGGGCGACCCCAAGCACCATGGCAAACACCACCAGCCCCAGAATGTTCATCCCCTCCACTTCCCTCCCAATGGGTTCCTAGGACAGGGAGGAGACATTTGTCAGGGAAAGTCAAGACAAAACAAAGAGATGTGTTAGGTGCCTACTGAGTGTAGAACACTGTCGGGAGAGGGCCGAAGTTTAAATAACAGCTTATGCTTATAGAGCGCTTTATGGAAAAACAACCCTATGAGGAAGATGCCATTATCACCCCCATTTTACAGATAAAGAAACTGAGTCTCAGAGAAGTGTAGTGACTTGCCCAGGGTCACAGATCTATTAAGTGTCTAGGGCAGCATGCAAATCCAAGTCTTTCTCACTCCAACTCTATCTTAGAATCCACAATCCAGTGTGCACCACAGGAGAACTCCATTAGAGAGAGAAAATGAAGTTCTACAGGAGATCCATGGGGGAAAAATCTAAGAAGCCTCCCTGGAGAAGGAGATATTCTAGTTACATTTTGAAGGATGGGTGGAAATTTTCACTGGGGTTCAGTGGAAGGAACAGCAACTCTGGAGTCAGAAGACATGGGCTGAAATCCCACTCTGGACTCTCACTACCTGTGTGACCTTGGACAAATCACTCACCTTCCTGAGTCCCAACATCCTTATCCACAAAACAAGGGCTTGGGCTAGATATGGCCTCTGGGAGGTTGTATATCCCCACCTTGGAAACAGGCCAAGAGGAGCAGAAAATGCATTTGGGGAAAAGTTCAGGCAAAGAAAGGGGCCTGAGGCAAGAGCAGAGACGAGTCCACTTTGGCTAGAGAAGAACAACGTGAAGTTATGCCGGACTGCAGAGAGCCTTGAGGGCCACGTGTGGAAGGCTGCACTTGACTCGGGCGGCAATAGAGAGTGGCCACATCAGATCCACGCACAAGATTATTCTAGCTGAGGTCAAAGGAGGGATTAGAGACAGGACAGGACGCACAGGGCCTGCCCGTGGGGGCACTGACAGGGCAAGGCATCTTAGGGAAAGGCTAGAACTGCCTAGAAACCCTCCCGCCCCACCCCCACCCCCAAGCCAGATAGACAGAGCTGCCTTAAGAGATACTGCTTGTGGAAGTGACTTAACCCGGATCCAGGCTGGTCATGGCCCCCTGCTGCTGCCACCCTCCCCTACTGACTGCTCGGCCTTTCCTGCTGCTCACTATTACAATTCCAAGGGTCAGAAAAGAAGTCACATGGTTCTTTCCCATTAACTCCCCTCCAAACGACCCTTTTCTCAATTGCCTCACTCTGCTCCCCTCATAATTACTAGGAAGGTTAGTCGAGGGCCAACTGGAGGAGGAGAACTGGGAAAAGAACTGGGAAAGTCAGCCGAAGGGTAGGGTGGAGGAAAAGAGAGGGGAAGGGAGGAGGGAAAGAGGGAGGGAGGAGAGAGAGGAAGGAGAGAGGGAGGGAAGAGAGAGAGGGAGGGAGGAGAGAGGAAGGGAGGAGAGAGAGGGAGGAGAGAGAAGGAGGAAGGGGAAAGAGGGAGGAAGAAGAGAGAGGGAAGAAGGAGAGGGAAGGAGGACAGAGAAGAAGGGAGGAAAGAGAGAGGAAGGAAGGAAAGAGGGAGGGAAGAGAAAGAGAGAGGAAGGAAAGAGGAAGGGGAGGGAGGGAAGGAGGAGAGAGAGGAGAGATCCTGTCCCTGCAGTAGCCCCCCAAATTACCTTCCACGTGGTCATATTGGTCTCGTTCAGCTTGTACTCGGTGGAATACTGAAGTGAAAGGAATGAGGGAGAAAAGAAGGGTTATTTCCTGAGGCTCACTCCGGGCCCTTCTCCCCTCCCATTCCCTCAACCCTTAAGTAAGACTTACAGAGCGGAAAGCCGCCGACACCAGGTTATCAGGAAAGATATTCCTGTAAAAACACAAGACACAGTTAAATACTAGATGAAGTGAAAGGAGAAATTCTCCTCCCCATGCAGCCTGACCCTTGTGTCCTTCCACCCCTCCAGAGGTCTCTGCCCAGTTGCTCAGCTGTGGGGTGGGGCAGGAGGCCTGGCCCTGGCTCTCTCACTCCCCAGGTGACTCTGAGCCCTTAACACCAGTGGAAAGGAGGTGGGAAAGGCCACAAGGGAAGGCTGAGAACGAGCACTTCCCTCTGACCATGGGGGTGGAAGCTGTAGGGAGGGCAGGCCTGTTAGAGGCTGTGGCATTCTTAGAGGCATCCTGCTCTGCACGGGCTTCAGGATTGGGGGCAGCAAAGAAAAAGGGAGAACCCATCCATACTTCCATGTTGGAGCCAGGCCTGGAGGGAAAGGAGGAAGGTGGGGAGGGGGCAGAAGGGAGAGAATCTGGGACAACTGTGTTCTCAGCTC